TTCCACCTAACAACCTCGCACGGCACAAGAATATTATAATAATAAACAACTATGCCGAGGTTAAAACAAGAGAGAAGCTGGAGTCTATTTGAGAATTACGGTTTCTGTGCCACTTTTGGTTCGTCTTGGTAACCCTCTTGCTATCACTTGGCTCAACTGACCCTGGGTCTGTGGAACAAACTGCACTGTTAAGACCTTCTTGAAGGTTTGGACAGTGTAGTTTGTTTTGACTTGATGTTTTGTTGACTGCTGTTTTAACGCCGCAGTGCGCGAAGCGAAAGTCTCACAAGGTTGGCGATTTGTGGGCAAAACTCCAGTCTCGGACGGGACTCGAACCCGTAGCTTGTCCAGCGCGCGTTGCCCACAAGAATATGTGATGAACAAAGGACGAGTGATATACCGCTGACCTTAGTTAGATAGGACTACGCGGTGATCTTAAGCTCCAACAGAGGGAATGAACGGCAGGAGTTTACTTGTGATGGTCATGCACTCACTTCGGTTGCATCATTAGATCATTGGTACGAGGTCGTTTGAGGAGAAAAAATAATACGCGTTTCGATGAATGTTCGGCATCACTTTAAAGCGAAGCAAGGATCGTATGGTAATGCAGTAGAAAATATGACATTCAGTGGGAAATAACTACTATAAATGTTACATACTTGATTCTCCAGGAAGAGATACGCTCACAATCATTGTTGTTACCAGCAGATGGTTGCTGGCGGTCGATATATTGAGCTCCAGGAAAAGTGAACGTAAGAAGAACAGGGATATTAAGGCGCCAGCATCTACTCACAAACCATTGCAAACCTTTTCAGATGCTCCGGTATCTAACTAAACACGAGGACATTCATATCGGATCGACCCACAGTTTTTAACATTTTTCTCTGTAGTTAGATAATTTCCTTGTAACAGTCGGTGCAACAACTCGGTACTGGTGTAAAAAGCAGAATCGCAGACGTTTCCGCAGAACTTGAAGCTCATTATTCATAACAGCTTGACATGAACAGCAATGACAACTGTGACATCCGTCAGGTATCGCGGGCATGCCAGACCTAGTTTCGACGAACGCGCGCAACGAAGCGCACCCTTCGTCAAGTCATCATCTATGTATTATGTGTGTGTAGCTACTGTCGCTAGTAAATACAAGTACAGTTACCAGTACAGAATAAGTACAGAGTGCTAGAATGTGTTGCGAAGCTCCATGATCGAGAGAATGCCATACGTGACCTGATCTTCAATCAGCTACCAGAATTTGTGGCAACGAACCATTGTCGGCTGTACTCAATCTATCACAAAGTTTATCCAGGTGCTAGATGTATAAATCATACAGAAGAAGAGAAAATACATATTAAAGTGTATAATAAACATATAATTTCATTCATTCATTAAACATTCATGTAATAAACATGTACATATAGCTAAGATTTTCGAGAATGGTTGAAGTACATGAACTACAGGATGTCTGAACTGGGTTATAGTAAGGATTATGGGCGTTTTTTCATAAAATAATTCAGTAATTCACCGAAGAATAATTCAATAAATACACGATGCAAAATACAAATCACAACGCATATAAAAAATCAATTCTTAACGTGAAAATGAAAAAACCT